GGGGGGGGTTCATGAGGAGGTGAATAGGATCATGGAGAACTCGGCTGCCACCATAGTAGCTGTAAGCGGCAGCTGCGTTCCATTCCGAGTGAATGGGTGACTTGAAATATCTTCTCGAACAGAAGAGTGCGATCGTCAATGCGTGGTGGTCCCGCAGATGGCAGTCTCGTCAATGCTTGCTTGGTCTAATTAGTCAGGGATTCAGGGTCCTTTTTTTTTTTTTTTTTCCGGACGTGTGGATCGAGTTTATAGAGGTTCGGCGAACGGGAGGAGACCTGCCTGCCGCGAAGCATCCTCTCCAGAGTTTGTCTTCCCTTGCAAACCTGAAGAATGCTCAGGGAAACTTCCTTCGATAAACCTGAATGTTCAGGGAAGCTTCCTTCGATAAACCTGAATGCTCAGGGAAGTTTCCCTCGATAAACGTGGTGGGCATTGACACTCCTGCAAAATAAAGAGTTCATTGGGTGGAGTGACGGCGGCTCAGGGAATTTTGTGATCGCCGATCGGGTCAAATGGTGGTTCATGTGTATCGGTCTATTGCGGGTGTCCATGTTCATTATCGCTAATGGCTTCAGATGTTGAAAGTGTTAAGTAGTAGCAGAATAGAGTGCCGGAGTGTTCCGTAAATTTTGTGAGGCACAAGCTGAGGGCCAGCTTGCGTAGGATGAGAGTGTGGTGAAGGGAAGGACGCATTCGTGTGTCGAAACTACTTCATGCCGTCACTTTAGAACGAAGATAGTCGTGACTTATAGGTAGGTACGTATCGTATTGTAATGGCTTAGCAAGGACGCTGTGTGAGGATTGCATTATTGTGGCTAAGCAAGAACGAAGATTTCGCGGATTTGTTAGCAGAGTGTGACGTGCGACGACAGTGTGTTGATAACGACGACAAGGGTTGGCGAGAAAGTGTTTTTTATTTTTTTTTTAGAGTTTTGATCGAAATGTGAGAAAGGTTTTTTTTTAGAGTTTTGTACAAGAGAGAGTGCTTTGTGTACACGAGAACGTGCGTCAGTCATTGCAAATTATGGGATGAACCGGACCGGAAAGGTAACTTGTATACATAGCACCAGGAAGTGTTTCACGGAATGCTAACAAGTCCGTGCCGCCGGAGGATCAATCACCGAGAGTGGGGAGTGGCAACTGGTCGTGAATGGCATCAGCAGCAGTCCTTGGCTGTGCCGTGCAAAGTACAAGGAAACTTCAGAGCTGACGTCAAGCTCGTGCTGCATAGCAACGACAACAAGGTCACCGACTCGATACAATGAACAGGAACACGATAATGGAGGTAACGAGTGAATATCCGATCCTGTTACAGATCAGTATGAAGTGCCGGGAATCGGAACCTTTCATGTCCCTGTTCATTGTATCGAGATGGTCACTGACTCGACATTGTCCGGCGGTGGTGGAATCGAAAGGGAAACATTGTCAACATATCGCGCAGCGAGTTCGTCGCAGATGCAGCACGAGGGCGAAAGGGTAATGGAGGTAACGGGTGAACGTCCGATCGTGTTACGGATAAAGGATAAAGTGCTGGGATTGTTTTCAGAGGGATGGGATTCATGGGATGCTGTTTTTGAAATGACCGTGCTTCTCGTCTGTGGCCGTCCCCGCCATATACCGAGGGAGCTACCGTCTTTGCTCGGAACGCACGGTCATCGTAGCTGTATCTCGTCAACTTTCAGTCCAGATACAGCGATAATGACCGGGCGTTCGATTCGGTTGAAGATGGTCGGTCCAGATACAGCGATAATGACCAGGCGGGCGTTCTATTCGGGCGAAGATGGTCGCTAACGACGACAAGGACTCTTACGAGGGTTTATGTCATTTGCTGCTGGCGGCTTCTGTTCGGTGGTGTGTATTGCGAAGGACCACGTATGTATGCATAGTAGATGCTCCTTCTCCTCTGCACGTATGTCTATGGACTGTTCGGTCAATTTTGTGGATTCGGTTGGAATTCGTGATCCGATTCGTCGAGAATAATAGAAACTAAAGAATATTGTTTTTTGGTGTACGAGAGCCTCCCAGCCCTTTTTCAGAAGCTCTGTTTGTGATGATGATTGTGTGTTTGGCAAACATGGCACGCCTTCCTCTTTAGGAAAACGACAAAGATGAAGGATGGGTGGCAGTCACCTTCCTCTTTAGGAAAGCGACAAGGCGGCGTAGCAGGGAAGTTTAGGAACACGAAATCGATGAAGGATGGGTGGCTGCTTTCCTCTTTAGGAAGAAGAAAAAGCGGGCCAGTTGCTGCCTCTACTTAATAGTCCCCCCCAGAGAGAAAGCCCACTTTGTTGTTGCGTTGGCTGTTGAGTTTTTTTTCACTTTTTTATCACCCCAGCCTAGAGAGAACTTGTCGGCGTTTTCTGCCGAGCTTGTTCAAGCTTGTTTAATCCACTCTTCACGGTTTGTGTTTTTTTTTTTTTTTTTTTTCCCTCCATGAGATCTGCTGCAATACAACTGCAACGATAGGAGCGAACGAAAAACGAACCAACAAGTTCCTGGCAGCATGGCAGGATGGCTAATATTTGATTTGGGTTTCGCAGTATTTTTTGTGCTTCGTAGTGTCCGACGACTGATCTTTTCGCCATTACCTTTTCTCCCCTCCATCATTTCATTTTTTGCATTTTTTGCTCCTGTTCCTTCTTATCCATGTGTTCTAGCCTCCGTAAGAAAGTAGGCTTGTTAGCTGTCAGACGGTGTCAGTTTGACTGCGGTTAAAACGGCATTACGACCCAATTACACCCTAATTTCTTACGCCAGTTAAACCCAGTTTAACCATATCCTTAGTCTAACCCACAATCGGAACCTTGTTTAACCCAGCTCAACCTGTGTTTTCTTGTTGTGTATCGCCCTTGGGTTTTAAGTTTTAACCACAGTTAAACTTTAACACCGGTTTGGCCTGTAGATTTTCATGGGTGGGTCATAGTGGGTGTTTGACTATCTTTCTTTCTCTTTTTTTTTTTCTTTTTCTTTTTTCACATAGTTCCGCAGTTTCACCTACGGAAACCTTGTTACGATTTCTCCTTCCCCTAAATGATCAGGTTCAATGAACTTTGTTTCTCTTTCAGATCCCCCTGTTTTTCATTCTTTTTCAAATGTTGAAATCTCTTCTCTCTCTCTCTCTCTCTCTCTCTCTCTCTCTCTCTCTCTCTCTCTCTCTCTCT